AGATGGAGCAGGAAATGCAAGCTAGATTGAATGCAGCTGATAGATGCTGTCGGGGCTTATCGAAACTTTTGAAAAGCAGACTCCTGTCAAGAAACACCAAGACTCGAATATCTGGCAATAATTCAACCTGTTGTCCTTTATGGATCAGAAGTATGGAGCCTCACAAAGAACATACAAAGAAAACTAACAACTTTTGAAAATAAAGTATCGAGGAGAATATACGGACCAACTTTGGAAGATTGGAGGATTAGAAAAAATTAAGAGTTAAGGGAACTTTATTAATAGGAGAACTGACATTGTAGCTTTTATTTGAAGTAGGAGAATCAGATGGCTTGGGCATGTTAGAAGGAGAGAAGAAGTTAACTGTATAACAAGAGTGTGGGGAAGAAAACCAGAAGAAAGACGACCATTGCGGAGACCAAAATTGATATGGGATGACCAAGTTGCTTGGGACGTCTGAAGACTGGGAGCAGAGGAGACGACGCAGAAGAAAGAGAAGGATGGAGGAATCTTGTTGGCGAGGAAAAAAATCTCCTTGGATTTGAGTGGCCACAGGAGTAAGTAAGTAAGTAAGTGATTCAAATCTCACGTCAAGCTTAAAGTCACTTACGAATATGAAACATTAATTATTATTCTGTTAACCGAGTAAATCGAGTGTATTCTTCTAAAATATAGAGAACTATTCAGTTCAATAAAAGCCCACAATCATGTTTTGTCCAATTAAATAAATGTTGGTGGAAACAACCATATAAGTTTCAGACCATAAAATTGAACAGAAAATAAAGGAGATACACAAGGCAATTATTCATCGTTGAATATGGAATCATTTGTCTCCGTCGCTATAAATGTATTCAAGCTCGCCCGGGGCTCGACTGGTGAAAACATTTATCTATCTTTGAAATTATTATCGCTTACGGATATTTTATTGTTGTCAGATTTATATTGTATTGGAAATAATTTTTGAAAAACATATTTAAAGAAGAGTTCTAGTGTACATATTTTACTTCTTAGGTTTGTCATTACTTAAGTAAACATTACCATTAGGTTGATGAGAAAATGCTGAAAACATATTTTTCGTCATACAGTACTACAGTAAAAACAACAGTTTTTAATGCATGCGTTGCGAGTCTAAAAGTAATAGAGATCGATGGTCTAAAGTAGCACTTTTACTCTATAGGGAGCAAAAATATCACCAGTTAAAAATATCAGTAGTTATAAATTTCGATTTAAAATTTAAACAAAACTGCGTGAATCAAAAGAATGTATCGATTGTTTAATCGATTGTAGTTCATTCTTGCCTTCTTATAAATTGCTCGACATATCGATAGTATAATGTACACTAACAAAATCGTAATAGACGAAACGATTGAATCGCTTAATAAACAGCTGCTTGTTTACATTGTCAAATTAAATTGAAAACAAGTTAGAATTAGTTTTGAGTTTTCACAAAGTTTGTTCAAATAATGGTGCAATATGACGAAAAATACATTTGATCACACGGATAAAATGTGTCTTTTCAACCATCGCTCATTTTCCGACCTCGGCTTCACCTCGACCTTGAGCTCAGGAAAAGGAGTCATTTTAGGGCATAGTAATGAAATATAATATTTCACAACACATTCCACAAACTTGTAGATTTCCGTCATTCAAACGCCACAAAATACATCTTAAAACTTGTAATTATTGTTGGTTTTGCAACAAAACAATATTCATTTACAATGCAGCAAAAATAGCCATGCTACTTGACCAACATAACATGTTTTGCAAGCAAACTGTAAACAAGAGTTAACGGTTCAGTAGCTTAGAAAGGTATGAAACACTTTGAAACTTTCGTTATTTATTGGAGTGTTTTGGCCAAAAGGGCCATTCACCGTATGAAAGCACGGTGAAACAGATTGGTCTCAGATAAATATTGTGTTTATTTGTGCTTTCAGGACCAATGATAAAACAGTAGGCTGGACTTGTAATATTTTATGGATTTTTCAGCAATGTGTTTACTTAGGTAGCCAAACAATTTTTAATTTTTATTGTATTTTAACCTCTTATTTAAAACCTACTTGTGTTGGTTGCTGCCACCCTCTAGGACTATCCTGGAGTAATGTGAAAAACATTGAAAATCACCATGTATTTGAGGGTGGGACATAAAAAAGACGTTGAAGAATTATGTTCTTACACTTTTGGTTTGCGTGCGGGAAAGACGTAAATACTGATGTAGGGTTCAGTGTTATTTTTACAACGACACTAGGACCGTAAAGCTTCACATAACACAACATTACTACGACCCCAGGGGGGACATTGGGAGCGCTACCGCGGACATTTTGCTTTCACAGTTTTACTCGTCCTCAGCATTGATTTTAGAAAATGTTACATGACATATGCTTTCTTGTCCAAATTATATCACACAATGTTGCCAACCAGATAAGTTGAAAGAAAAACATCGTGAAGGCTTGTAACAGGCTGGGGAATTAATATAAACTAAACATTTTTCAAATATTTTGATTTGTGAATTTTATTATCTTATTGGGAAAATATTACAGAGGGTTTCTTCACGATCTTATCTAGATCTTGATAATTTTCTGGGCAGTCGATTGGTTAAAGTGCTCGCCTTGAAATCTGAAGCTCGCAGGTTCGATTCCAAGTGAGATAGTTACTTGACTCAGATGTCATGTCATTTGACTATTTGTATTTGGACTACTAAAAAAAGGTTGACGTTGGATAGTAACAATACCAGCGTTAATTATGTTACTTTACAAAAATAAAACCTTAAAAAGATTCCACTGGCATAAAAAACATCCTCCACACAAACATATTTACAAAACCCTCTTGCTTTTTCTGACATAAATGAAGAAGGTAGCATTTATTTACTCTAGGCTCTATATGTATGAGAATAAAATCTATATGGCTTGTAAAATAGTTAATGATCTTAATCCGAAATAGAAAGATGAAATGGTTTGGTTCAGCTCCAAATCAAACATATTTAGAGATAAAAACAGAGTGTTCCATTAAGATGATTCTAATTTAATAAAGCAGAAAGAAAACTTAATCCATTTTAAGCACAATTAAGCCAGGAAAGTTTTAGATGGGATTACACGCTCTGATGGAATGAGGACAATATTTTGGAGGCAAGGAAACTTTAAACGTCATGTTCTGTAAACGCACTAGAGTTTGTGATGGAATCTAACTGGTTGATTAACTTTTGATTAGATCAAGTACCATTTTTACTTGAAAGGACGAAATATCTTATGCCAAAATAGAGCAGAAATTACTAAAAGCGTTTCAGCCAGTAGAAATTTACAATTTTTATAAGTCATTATGGATATCAAATGTACCGAATTATGTTCAAAGCTTCTTAAATTGATGTGAACTAGTGTACCTGAAGCTCGAAATTAAGCAATTGTCAATTTTCAAATGTTCATAACAATCCAATAAAATCAAAACTCTTGCAAATATCTTATCATTTTTCGGAATCTGACATTGTTTTTTAGTGTTTTCTACAAATGGATCCCGTCTTACCCATAGGCATAAAAAGTTGTCCATGTAAATCTTCATAATTGAAGTAGCCCGCATGGTAATACCATTGTTGCCAGCATGTTAACAAAATTCAGTAATTTTAATAAAGAAAAAAATTCAAATAACTCAATTACTACCCGATTGCCTGCTTAATCCGTCTGTCACAGTGTATTTGCTTCAAATAGCATTCTTTTGGTTAGTTTATGTTACGTTGCAATTATGTTACAATTATATTTACCTGTAAAATGCAGAGTTAAATGGTCTGATGTTTTTCAGGTGTTTTTTTTTATAGTTGAATCCTTCGATGAAAGATTTAGCAAAGGGTTTTCCATTACATAGGCTAATAACGATAGTAAAATTCTGAATAAAACATCATCTCTATTTCTTCTACTTGGAGGAGTTCTATGCCTTTCTATGTTTTCATAGTTTGCAAATCCGTTCTTTTAACGATAACTTAAGAAATACAGTTACTGTGAGTTGACTTATTTTGTGAAATATATCAAATTGCCTCATATCTACGAGAAAATAATACATTCTTCTCCCATAATCTCATTAAAAAATGTAAAAAATATACTGTCATTTAGGGTAAGTTATTTCAGGACTCTGTATGGTAAAATAATTTAACATCATTAGTTAAACTTTGTCGCTAGGTTACCATTGTGTGATGGTTCCTTTCTGCTTAACGCTGTCCATTTAATGTGGATTTTTCTGTTCAGACCCCCTGATAATGGTCTAGCTATGCAAATAAACTGGTTTCATAAGCATTTATAACAACTACACATGTCTTATAAAAACCATTTTACTTTGGGCAAAGAAACAAAGAATAACTAAAACACATAACCATTATGTATAAAATAATTGCAATGATTGTAAGGTTCTGGAATGTAATTACGTAACATCAGATTTATTCACTTTCCTAATTACATGATAATCTCCATTGAGACTCTTAGACAAGCCAACAGTGGTGGATAGGATGGACGTAGTTCTATTGTTCACTGTTTACATTGCAGTGATTCGGTAGCGTTGATTTACCATCGCTTAATGAACGAACGACTCAATCTCACTCAAAGGACTCAACAAATACAATAATCTATTACATGGTACAATGTATTATGTCTAAATCAACGCGAAAAAAGTCTATTGCAGTATGTTCACATTGCAAGAGCACTTACTATAACTACTAGTTATTTGTAATAGTATATTAGGTTACTAGTCCTAGGTGTTTACCGGACGAGTGACGGCAAACAGCTGTTTTCTGGACTTGATCCTTGCGTGGGAAGTTCGTCAAACCAGTGTAGTGTTGCGTAAAAAATATACCCGAGTTTTATGTAAAACGGTCTGTCCTGAAGTCTGTATTTGTGAAACTATCATATGTTGTTTGTTTGGTTGTCACCTGATTTTGTATGTTATTGTTTTATGTTTACTCTAAGTTTGGTTTTAAGTTAAATAATGGAAGAAGTTTGCTCTACAAAAGTGGTTATGAATTTAGTATGTTTAAGATCACAACACAGGCTGTGCTGAGGGACGATAAAAAAGAAAGGTATGTTTATTAATTTATCAAATTTACTATTAACCTGTTACGGTTAGGTTATTCCTTTTAGGTTAGGCTATACCTGTTAGGTTATTTTCATGATCCTATCGGCTTATCACTGAATCAAAGATTTAGAGAGAAAAAAACAACTGTAATAAAGGTGAAAGTACTATTGATTAAGTAACAAAAGAGGCTCGTCCAACTAAAAGCTTGATATACCTGGTGCATATAGATGAGTCAATGGTAGTTAGAATGGTTACCTCCCGCCATCTCCGTGTCCCGCCACCTCCGAATTTCAGAGTGACCCCTATAATCCTCGGTTACTACATGCGTTAAGACTTTCCGTCCTATCCTAACCTAACCTAACCTAACCCACGGGTTAAATTTTCATTAAATCTTCCATCCACGGGGCTTCGCAGCCGTGGATGCAATGACAGCTACCAACGCAGGCGATGACGGGATTATAAGGGTCACTCAAGAATTCGGAGGTGGCGGGACAGATTTGGGTTCGGAGGTGGCGGAACGCGGAGATAGCGGGAGCACACGGTTAGAATAGTTAACTAATGATTTCCCATTTAAATCCGTTTAATTTATCCATAATTGAAAGTGACTTCATTAACTCTGTAACCTTTGTACAATTTAACCGCAGTAAATTTAGAATAAATTGATTAAACAAATGTTTAAAAAAACGAATTAACAAGTTATTATTGGACCAGATATTATAGGAATATACACTTTTATCATAATTTATGTTACATAAAGCTCACAAAATAGTTAAGTGAAAACATGAGCCAAAATACATATTCATGCATAAGGGACTTAGGGCATTACATTCATTAATATTAATCGAGTTATATAACCTCATGGGGTACACCCTACATTCAACAACGTACATGTTGTTTCAAACACATATATTACATTTGGACTTTAAAATCCATCAATCCTTATGATTGTATTGACATAGGCTCTTAATTAATTGTATTAAAAGAGTTAATGGTTATCTTGAATAACTTCTTTATCAGCAACGTAAGTGCTTTTTACCTGAAAGTACAAAAATACGTCAAATAACACTTGTATTAATATATTCACACGTATACTGTTTACTCACAGTATGGTAAATACATATAAAAGATGGTAAGTGGTGATCGATTTCGATTGTACACCCCAATCATCATCAGACCCGATAGGTGAATTTTTATCTAACAATAAATTTAACTTTGCTCAATATACAGTGCTTTCAAAAAGCTTACGAAATTAAAGTAAAAGCTTCTTTTTTGCTCATACAGTAGTTTTACAGTAGTAAAAACTATAGATTATAACTAGATTATTGAAGATTATAACTATCTTTTATTGGAGTTCAATAATAATAGATAAATAATTGTGCAATAACAAAAAGGAAAGAATTTTAAAAAGATTAATTTACTAATAAAAAATTAACTAATTGAAAATTCTAGCCCTGAGGTTGAAAAGAATTGCAGAACCATTATACCCATTATACCATTATACCCCATTATACCCTACCTCAAGGCACGTGCCATCCCGAGACCACCCTACCTCAAGGCACGTGCCATCCCGAGACCACCCTACCTCAAGGCACGTGCCATCCCGAGACCGCGCTACCTCAAGGCACGTGCCATCCCGAGACCGCCCTACCTCAAGGCACGTGCCATCCCGAGACCGCGCTACCTCAAGGCACGTGCCATCCCGAGACCGCCCTACCTCAAGGCACGTGCCATCCCGAGACCGCGCTACCTCAAGGCACGTGCCATCCCGAGACCGCCCTACCTCAAGGCACGTGCCATCCCGAGACCGCCCTACCTCAAGGCACGTGCCATCCCGAGACCGCCCTACCTCAAGGCACGTGCCATCCCGAGACCACCCTACCTCAAGGCACGTGCCATCCCGAGACCGCCCTACCTCAAGGCACGTGCCATCCCGAGACCACCCTACCTCAAGGCACGTGCCATCCCGAGACCGCCCTACCTCAAGGCACGTGCCATCCCGAGACCACCCTACCTCAAGGCACGTGCCATCCCAAGTGGACCTTAATCTGCAAGTGGACGCAATTTATCTGGACTTTGTAAGGCGTTCAACAGGGTAAACCATCCGCTCCTCCTCATTAAGCTCCAAGCTGCTGGTGTAACTGGGAAAATGCTATCTAGGTTCCAGTCCTACCTTGCAAACCGCCCCGTTCAAGTTAAGTTTCTTGGTTCGTTATCCCATGAATTTTTAACCACATCTGGTGTTCCTCAGGGCTAACACCTTGGTCCACCACTTTTCAACATCTTCATTAATGACCTGGTGACCCACGTTGGGAGCCCTTCTATTTGCTGACGACCTGAAGATGTACCGTACCATTAGAAGCCACGAAGACTGCCTTCTCCTCCAACGTAGTCTCGATGCCGTACAGAAATGGTGTGTCTCAAATCTCATGGACCTAAACATCAAAAAGTGTGTAGCCATATCGTTTAGCAAGAAGAAGTCTCAGCTTCAGTTCGTCTATAGCCTGGGTCAATACAATCTTGCAAGGGTTAACGAAGTGAGGGATTTAGGCGTGACCTTAACCTCTGCCCTGTCTTGGGAGCGTCACATTACTACTAGTTGCAGAAAAGCCCTTCAAGCCCTGGGTTTTGTTCTTCGTAGCTCCAGACATTTTCAAGACGTTACTCTACTCAAAACCCTATTCCTGGCCTTCGTATTGCCACACCTTGAGTTTGGCTGTTGTGTTTGGTCACCTTACCAAGACTATCTCAAGACCGAACTTTAAATGGTTGTTAATCACTTCTTGAGAGTGGTCGGTGTGAGGTTGGGCTACAACTACAGAGAGGTACCCATCCATGACATCTCCGTGGCCCTTCATATCCTTCCTTTGGAGTCCAGACGTGAGATCCAGGACATCTTGCTCATCTACAAACTGGTCAATGGCTTCATCGACTGTCCCGGACTTCTCAAACTTCCGAACTTTAGGGCGGGTAGATCTTCAAGATCCAGGGACCTCTTCTCTCGTGAGCACCTCAGCACCAACTATCATCTCTACAGCCCATTGCCCAGAGCCCAACGTCTCATCAATGCTCTATCTGATGACATTGACCTTTTTAGTATGTCGCTTGCTTCCTTCAAGAAAAGTGTGGTGTCTTCAAAGTGGTGAAGTGATGATCTATCTGTGTTTTGTGCCTGCACCTCTCTGTATACGCAAATTTCGCAACTGCCCCTTCTTGTTTTGTTAAACATCAAGGCAGATTTTTCGCAATTTTCTGTTATGTTTGGATTTTTGATTTGCTTGTTTTGGTCCATGCAATATTGTTGTTTTGTTTTTGCACCCAAATTTGCTACCTATCAGAACTTTCTTGAATTAGAGTTTATTATTGAAACTTCTTCCTGTTGTTAACTTTTATTTGTTGTTGCTATTTATTGTTATTTGTTATATTGTTAATTATTGTTGTCAAATGTTATTGCTTGTTATACTGTTCTTAATTGTTTCTCATTTTGCATCTGTTATTTTTTTCAAATTGCATCTAATCTAAATCTTCTTATGTATTGGCGTCAGCCGTTGGTCTATAAATAAATAAATAAATAAATAAATCCCGAGACCGCCCTACCTCAAGGCACGTGCCATCCCGAGACCACCCTACCTCAAGGCACGTGCCATCCCGAGACCACGCTACCTCAAGGCACGTGTCATCCCTAGACCACCCTACCTCAAGGCACGTGCCATCCCGAGACCACCCTACCTCAAGGCACGTGTCATCCCGAGACCGCCCTACCTCAAGGCACGTGCCATCCCGAGACCGCGCTACCTCAAGGCACGTGTCATCCCGAGACCGCCCTACCTCAAGGCACGTGTCATCCCGAGACCGCGCTACCTCAAGGCACGTGTCATCCCGAGACCACCCTACCTCAAGGCACGTGTCATCCCGAGACCGCCCTACCTCAAGGCACGTGCCATCCCGAGACCGTGCTACCTCAAGGCACGTGTCATCCCGAGACCACCCTACCTCAAGGCACGTGCCATCCCGAGACCGCCCTACCTCAAGGCACGTGCCATCCCGAGACCACCCTACCTCAAGGCACGGGCCATCCCGAGACCACCCTACCTCAAGGCACATGCCTTCCCGAGACCGCGCTACCTCAAGGCACGTGTCATCCCGAGACCACCCTACCTCAAGGCACGTGCCATCCCGAGACCGCCCTACCTCAAGGCACGTGCCATCCCGAGACCACCCTACCTCAAGGTTCGGGCCATCCCGAGACCACCCTACCTCAAGGCACATGCCATCCCGAGACCACCCTACCTCAAGGTTCGGGCCATCCCGAGACCGCGCTACCTCAAGGCACGTGCCATCCCGAGACCACCTTACCTCAAGGCACGTGCCATCCCGAGACCGTCCTACCTCAAGGCACGTGCCATCCCGAGACCGCCCTACCTCAAGGCACGTGCCATCCCGAGACCGCCCTACCTCAAGGCACGTGCCATCCTAGACCGCGCTACCTCAAGGCACATGCCATCCCGAGACCACCCTACCTCAAGGCACATGCCATCCCGAGACCACCCTACCTCAAGGCACATGCCATCCCGAGACCACCCTACCTCAAGGCACGTGCCATCCCGAGACCGCCCTACCTCAAGGCACATGCTATCCCTAGACCGCCCTACCTCAAGGCACGTGCCATCCCGATACCACCCTACCTTAAGGCTTGTGCCATCCCGAGACCGCCCTACCTCAAGGCACATGCTATCCCTAGACCGCCCTACCTCAAGGCACATGCCATCCCGAGACCACCCTACCTCAAGGCACATGCCATCCCGAGACCACCCTACCTCAAGGCACGTGCCATCCCGAGACCGCCCTACCTCAAGGCACGTGCCATCCCGAGACCGCCCTACCTCAAGGCACATGCTATCCCTAGACCGCCCTACCTCAAGGCACGTGCCATCCCGAGACCGCCCTACCTCAAGGCACATGCTATCCCTAGACCGCCCTACCTCAAGGCACATGCCATCCCGAGACCACCCTACCTCAAGGCACATGCCATCCCGAGACCACCCTACCTCAAGGCACATGCCATCCCGAGACCACCCTACCTCAAGGCACGTGCCATCCCGAGACCGCCCTACCTCAAGGCACATGCTATCCCTAGACCGCCCTACCTCAAGGCACGTGCCATCCCGATACCACCCTACCTTAAGGCTTGTGCCATCCCGAGACCGCCCTACCTCAAGGCACATGCTATCCCTAGACCGCCCTACCTCAAGGCACATGCTATCCCTAGACCGCCCTACCTCAAGGCACATGCTATCCCTAGACCGCCCTACCTCAAGGCACGTGCCATCCCGATACCACCCTACCTTAAGGCTTGTGCCATCCCGAGACCGCTCTACCTCAAGGCACATGCTATCCCTAGACCGCCCTACCTCAAGGCACATGCCATCCCGAGACCACCATACCTCAAGGCACGTGCCATCCCGTATTGTCTTTATTTTCAAACAATTTACCATTAGGTCACCTATGTACCAACTATCAACAGAAAACACTATATTTACTGAGACAGGTTTCGTCACTTAGTGGTTACGATTAGAATTTAAACATAAACAATACACCAAGACAACAGTAAAATGTATTCATTTAAATAAATACTCCATTACTCCATACAAATTAGACTAAAAATTACAAAACTGCTGCCAAGTTTTAAACGAATGAACCCTACTAATTGCCAACAACTGTGTGAGAATGAACTGAAAAATAATAAAAACGTTGCAAAAAAGGGAAACAAGAGCTAAAATTGTCATGAAGTAATGAATGAACTTTATATGTTCCAGCGGAGAGGCTAAATTACGGATTATTGTTGTTCTCTCCAACTTTTTAGAGACTCCTCTGCTTTTGAAATCGTAAAAATATGTTACTTTGCAATGTGTAGTAGGCCTAGGTATCAAAATATGATATAGTATTTGTTAGTTATAAAAATAACTATTGATTATTGTGGATGACCTCTATTTTATTCACCTACTTATTTGGTATAAACAAATATTCCAATTAATTATTCTATCTGGTTTTTCTGAGTTAGAGCTAAATCCACCATTAACCCCATTAGGCCCATCGGCTTTTATGGTTTCTATGTAAATTTAAATAGGCTTATCGCTTAATATTGATTTAGAGAGTGAACTTTTGCTGATTAAGTTGATTAGCTTTTGAATAAATAATTCAGAAAATGAATAATTGAATATGATGAATATAATCGTGTATGTTGATGCGGGGACTAACTTAGTTTCCAAAATTCAGTTTTGAAAATTGTTTGGCCCATATGTCTTTTGAAAACTAGGGTTTTATGTAAAGGAACTGTTGTGTTATCACTTAAACAGCTGGCTGAAAGGTAATTGGACGATCAAATGTTTCAATTTACTAAACAATGGGTATCTAAGTTTGTTTGCTTCAATGTGTCATGCTATACAGTTGGTACCATTGTATGTCATATGCAGGGCCTACTATTGTGTAGTATTGCATGTACTGTACTAATGTCAAAGATCCTATTGTATTTACTTCCTTTTGTTTCACCTCCAGGATACTCCAGCTAGATAAAGTACCTAAATTAAACATACAATTGGTTATCGTAATTAAAGATGGTATATTTCGTCCCCAAGCTTCATTTCGACCCGAGCTTTAATTTATTTAGGATAATAAGCATAGGCTGAGAGACGCATTACGCCAGTGTATTGAACTATATTTCCACTACACTAACCATCTCTTAATGCTAAATGATTGCCAACACGTAATTTTCGTACCTTTATAAGTTGGAATCAGAAATTCTCCACGTTTTTGTCCTTCTTGTTTTGATTTTAATACGAACAGCTGGTACTGTTCTTTAGATGTAATAATCTTACTAATATTATAAATGTGAAAGTTTGTGTGTTTGTTTGTTTGTTTGTTTGTGTGTTTGAAGTTCAATCACGCATAAACCACTGGACGGATTGGGCTGAAATTTGGCATGATGATAGCTTACATTCCCGATTAACATATAGGCATATTCTTATCTCAAAAATCCTTTCGGGCTCCGCCCCAGTGGCTCTGTAATTCCCCATGTTAACCTTATGAGTATTCATATTTAAAAGGAATTAAAGAATTTAGTCAGCTGTTTCAACTAAAAAAGTTGGTTCTATGATATGGAAAAGCATTAAAAAGTTATAAGATTTACCAACAAGGTGCAGCACTATATTTTTTTGCATTTATGAAAACAGCTAATTTGAACTAAGCAGCAACAAAAAACTGTGATTCGCAATGAGAACTGTCAAATTAGGATTGTTTACAGTTATTTTTATGTTTTTCATGTCATGAATAATTTGTGATATTTTGCGAATTGTTGATAATTTATTTTTCTCTATTGTTTAGGTGAAGTGGTAGAACATTATGGCTTTGGTAGATGTGTAATACTATAGAATACTGTAAATTAAAAAAAAATTTTATCAAACTGTGTCCTCCCTAATTGCAAACGCAAAGCTTGAGTATAACTGCAATAAGTATTTTATACTATATTCTAACCCCGTACGAAGGACGTGTACTCTTCTAGTGTACGATATATCAACCAAACCCGCCAAAGGCACATCTAGAGGATGAGAGCGTACGAAATAATAATATTTGATAGCTAATATGCCTGTAAAAATAAATATTTAGGAGTCGATTTGCTGCACACAAAAATCCAACAAATTCTTTTAATAATATAGATTACCCCGCCAAGGAGAAAGTCATATACGAGAATTACCCTAAAAACATATACTATTTTATGAATACAGTTGTTAAATTTCAATTTATCTATAAGTCGATGAAGGGGTGAATTTGTTTTGAACAATTCCATAAAGCAATATGATTAACACAAATTGTTCACTATGAACGATACGGTAGTAGGCCTATTTGTCAATCTGCAATATGCTCATCGGTAAAATTAGCAAACGGATGTAACAGCTTAAAAATGGACTAGAACTCGTGTCTAAAATATATTTTTGTCCGTGGATTGAACTATTTTTTTATACTAACCATTTAAGCTAATTAGCTAAAAAGCAAAAATGCCGTAGTATGCTTATCTTGGGTAAACTAGTCCTCAAAATGGATTCCATCTACGTTTGTTATCAAACATTCCTCCCAACACAATAATAAATTCAATGGAATTACTCAAATGTGTCTACATTATGATTTGTCTAAATGGCCATAAAGGAACACTCACTCCCGTGTGTCTGGAGACTCTGTATACAGAGCAGTGTGACGGCTGGTACTAAACCTGTTAAACAATAATTATAAACCACTAGCTGGCCCGACAGACGTCGTCCTGTCCTAATGTGGTTTTATGTCAAATGCTCGTCCATTTTCAAAATGAGCTCGTTCGCTTGGCTCAATCACGTCCTGGTTGAAGTTCGTTCGCTACGCTCACTCACCTTTAGGTTGGAGCTCGTTCGCTGCGCTTACTTGCCTTCAGGTTAGCTCGTTCGCTACGCTAACTCACCTCCAGGTTGAAGTTCGTTCGCTACGCTCACTTACCTTTTTGTTGCAAATTAGCTGCTGTCATAAATAAAATAATAATAGTGCTGCGCCCTGTTGGTAAACCTATTAACTTTTTAATGCTATTGAACATCACAGAATCAAAATGTTTAGTTGAACCAGCTGTTAAGATTCTTTAATTCCATTTAAATATGAGTACTCATAAGGTTCTCCAGAGCCACTGGAGCGGAGCCCTTTTGACGGATCTGCACCAAAGAACACTCAAACCATCCTTGAATAATGCTTAATAATATCTTAAAGTTTTACTACAATCTGTCGAGCGGTTTCGGAGTCCATAAAGGACAAACAAACATACATTGGATTTTATAACGTAACTAGCTGGCCCGACAGACGTCGTCCTGTCCTAACGTATTTTTGGTTACAATTTTCTTCAAACAAAAAAAAACATAAAAACTCCTTGACTGATTCTTTGTGTTCAAGAGAGAATAATTATTTTGTAATATTGTGATTGAAAAGTATTATTTATTTATATGCAAAGAAGAGGGATACAAAACAATCACTCATCGTTGAATATGGAATCATTTGTCTGCGTCGCTATAAACGTATTCAGCCTCACCCTTGGGCATGAACCATTTATCTATTTTGGAAAAGCATACCACTTTGCTTACTTCCATTGAGAATAATAATAGTGTAATTATTTGTTGCACTAAATAATACAATCCTACTTAGAGGAAGGTTTATTACTTTGACCGTTTTAACTTTGTTACATTGTGTTGGTTAATTTTAGTAATTTTTTAAATATTTAACTTCTAATGATTTTTTTCCTTTTAAACCAACACTGATATGTTAAAATAATAATTATACTAATTTTCTTGATGCCAGTTCAATTCAATTGATTAAAATGGATAGGCCACCTGAAGGGTAAATTAACTTAAATAGGCCTATGAAAATGAGTGAAGGATGTTTGTAGAATGGAGTAAGATGATATGTGTAGCTTTGTTACTGACTAAATAAGCTGTTTCATCAGTCAGGATCATTTATTTGAAGTCCAATGATCAGGGACAGCTGGGACCAGTTTCGAAACATAAAAAATATACTGACTTTTCTCAGGATCGAAGTGGTTACCTTTTGATTGCTAGGCGAGCACTTTACCCACTCAAATGCTCAGACTATCATTCAGGATAGTCAATCATAAATCAATCTAATGTTTTGTGAACTGTAAAGGAAATAATAGCACCGTAAAGTCTTCAATTCATCATTGGCAGTTGAAAAATAAATTATTACATAAATTGGCAGAAAGATTACGTTTTACAGTTATCTTAAAATATCTCTGTCTTAAATATTTTTTACAATTTGAATCCTCTTTATATTAAACTAGATTGTGCTCTTCTCTTTAATCTATTGTGGGAAGCAATTGTGTCAAAAATAAAAAAAAGACATGAAGGTATGAAAAATAATTACTATAAACGAATGCTTTTAGACTAAAACCCTTCAGCCAGCTTAGCAACGCAGACGGAAGGAGGGTAAATTATGTGGACTTTTGGTGGTTTATGTGGTAATAAATCACAGTTGCAGCATTTCCTCCGAGGTTTAACCTTTGACCAAGTTTTATTTCATAAGTCAGACTGAAAATAATGTCTTTGAATCAGCATTTACTGTAACACTAATGTATTTGTCTAAACCTACCTGTAGTTGAAAGATTAATTCATTATAGAAACTATAATCGAGTGTTAATAACGCTCGCCCGACAAAAATGTGTTGATAGCTTCGATCTTGAGCTAAGAAGACATGATTATACTGAGCTGGGTAGCACAGTGGTTGTAGTACTTGTCTAGTAATCGAAAGGTCGCCGGTTAGATACTGTGAAAAAGTGTGACTTTTTGATGGTTCGAAACTGGACCCAGCTGTCGTCGATCATTGGACTTTGAATAAATGATCCTGGCTAATGAAACAGATGATCTTAGTCAATAACAAAGCTACACAAGGCATCATACTCTATTCTACACTTATCCTTCAG